TGGAATTGAAAGCAGACAACAGAACATTGCTAGAGAGCAGGAAAGGAGGTGAAAGGAGATAATTTTAGAGAAGAAAATTTTTCGGTCGCTACCCGGATTCGAACCCGGGACCTTTGAATGAGAGGCCAACACCTTAACCTCTAGGCCACGAGTTTATGGGTAGATCTATTCAACGTTGAATATCAAGTCCATGTTTTCGGTTATTGTTACTGGAGATGGGGAGGGAGACGGGTTTACGGCCTACATTGTATTTCCTTGGCAAACCTCTGACCAAACAAAACTGAAACTGATAGGCCTACTAAAAGTAGCTAAGCTATTGGGTGGTTTGGAAAGGGTAGTGGTCAAGTTTTGTCGTCTGTCAATCCTTTATCTCCAGGAGCTGCTAGAAACGTATGGGACCATATTATTATATTCTCACCTTTACAACAACAACAACAACAACAACAACAACAACAACAACAACAACAACATAAGTATAAGAACACCAAGAACAGGAACAAGAACAACAACGAATTCTAGACAGGGAATCTACACCATTCAGTGAGACAATGACAGCCACAACCACCCACCAAACACCCACGTGTACAGAATAATAGGGCTAGTAATATGATAACATTAAAAATAATAATTATTATAGTAATGATAATGATAATAACAATAATTAAGGCTTTGCAGTTGGTTTCAAGGAAACCCCTGTTGTTTTTTCGAAACAGATTCGCCTTTTAATTGTCTCTCTTCAAGTTCACCATATGCTATAAACAGCAGTAGATCTATTTTGTATTAGGCTTTTCTCAAGGAGATTATCCTCCCTTATGAAACTGGTTGTTGGGGATTGTTTCCCGAAAAATTTGCAACAACTGAATCTCTGCGCAGGAGAATATGCCTAGCTTACTAAGTTTAGCCTAGAGTGGGTGGGAAGAAAAAAAAAAAACGGTTCCGAAAAATACAATTATGTAGGACGAACGCGTTATTTATAGAATCACAAGATTTTTTTTCCTTTTATTTTTTTTCCGCCAGAATTACTGTTTTTATTTGATCCCAGCGAGGTTATATTATAGAACTAGAGATCGCAGCTGAGACGTCACAGGTAGCCTATCAGACGCGAGAAGCACACCGCCATTGCTGAGCAGTTTAGAAAACCAGTCGGTACATTATTGCATACAGAGAGTGCACAAATAAAAACACTACAGTGGGAATAGTAATACGGTAGTAACCTACGGTGTAGAACTGTGCAGAAATAACAAAGTTTCAAAATTGTGCCTTAATTCGAAGTGCAAACAAGCGTGATAATGAGAGTAATCACAGCTTTCACAAGTAGGTCGTTAATGTGAGTGAACGTTTTAATCATACCTTATTCAGTTTCGTTTACGGGCGTGAACCCCCCCCCCCCCACACACACATTCTAGCTCATTTATTCATTTGATGATGCGCACATAACTTTGCATTGCACTCCTGTGAGCCAGCGACCAAACATTTCTTTTTTCTTTATAGATCTTGACCCAGTAATTTCAATAACAACAAAAGTTTCTTAATCTAGGCCCTGCCCTCGACGAACACCACCCTTTGGGTGCATACACAGGGTCATTATGTTGATTTTACAATAACCTAGTCAGAAATTGCTCTTCTCATTTTGTGATACCACCATCGCGACACTCACATTTGAGAGCAAGCATAAGGCCAACTTGACGATGGAAAAACAACCAATTTTGTAAGTCTTCTGTACAAGTGTCCTATTTATGAACAATCTCAGTCACTCATTTGTCCCCCCCCCCCCAAAAAAAAAGAAACAGCCACTGCTTCATAATTAAATATCCCTCTGACTATCGTTCATTTATAATTTATAGCACAAGTTTATGCGCAATATGTTTCGCACAATTATTGTTCAGTAGGTGCCGTATTGTGTACATACACATATACGTTATATTATTAGATCTCAACGAAAACAGCAACAAAAAGTGAACTACACAAAAAAATGACGTAAGCGCTCACTGTGAACTCAACGCTTCATACTCAATTAAGACCCAAAGGCGTTGCGAGGGACCCGCAGTGTGACCAGAGACACTAAAAATATTTAGAGTCTCTGGTGTGACAGACAGCGCTGTTTCGCGTCCTCTCGGAGATGGCCGCGCCACGAGCTGAGTGAGCTCGCGCGGCCCTCGCTTCTTAACGTTGGTGACGTCTTGGCTGTGACCTCTGGTGTTTGTTTTTTAATACCTCTTTGGCAGGCCAATGGAATTCCCAGAAAGACTGGTCTGTTTAGAAAAATATTCGTTCTCAGGCAAGGTGACCATACTAAAAGTGTTGATCTTCTGTGTAACGAGTGTGGGTGTATATAAAGGACGAATGTACGCGTTCTTGTCCAAAGTTTGAAACTCAGTTAATGGTGGTGAATCTTTTACGAGATCTAGATCTAGATCTAGATTTCTAGATCTACATCGACTTGACTTTCACAACAAGTCTGACTTGATTCAGTTTCGGCCAGTTTCAGTAGACTAGATTCTAGATATCGAACAAGCTACAGTAACAACAGTGTTCTCTAGATCTACCTACCAGTCTCAGTCTCACTTGGAAACAAAACGGTCAACAGCCAATTTTATTGAAATTACAAATCGTGCGATCAACGCTTTCAAAGTTGTTAGCAACCTATTCAGGCAGTAAAACTGGTGAGTAACAGCGACTTAACAGAACCTAGACTCTAGATCTAATATCTAGATCGGTCTACACGTGAAGCGAGGAACTCTACTAAGTCAAGTAGATCAGATCTAGATTCTAGATCTAGATCTAGATCTAGCTCTAAGAGTGTCAATGAAAGACTAATTTATATTTATATTATATAAAAAAAACTTAGTAGAGTAGATCTATATCTAAAGTCTAGATCTAGATCTAGATAGGCAGAGGCCAACTTCTAATACTATTGTCTGGGTCTGGGCAGAATTATACTGCCGTTGACTGACAAACACCTTTTTACAATTTACAGTAAATTTAGAGAAAAATAGAAAGACTTTGTCAGAGTGATTTATTGAGTTCTAGATTAGATCTAGAATTTAGATCTATCTAGATCAATGATAGTATTCACTATCTTTGTCTAGATCTAGATTGAGACTCTAGATCTAGATCTAATTTAAAAAACTAATCCTAATCACATAATTGACTATGATGGTTTTTTTCCATAGATCTACAAGTAGGGTAACTGATCAGACTATCGATTTAGCAAAACTTAAAAAAAATTAGCGCCATAAATTAAAAATCTAGAATTTTATAAAAATAATTTCATTTATAGATTCTAATTATGTTGAAAGATATAGATCTAGATCTATAGGATATTTCTAATTTCTAGAAATCTAGTCGTGATCCCTGAACTGTAAAATTCACTTTCTGAAGCTGCAGGTCCCATTTAATTTTTTACTCTCTTGAGCCAATATTCGTACCTTGGCTTAGAGATGTTCAAAATCTTGGGTCTGAAAGGAGGTTTTACTGATTCATGTATGTCTGATCATGCCTTGCAGCCTTACTTATACTGTCCGACTTGGATGCCTTGAAATAGGTTATGTCTTGATAATATAATAATAATAATCATAATAATAGATCCTAGATTTAGATCTAATAATATAATCATATGATTAAGTGACAAACGTTGTCTAATAATATAATATCGTCTAACTTGCTGGGCTGGCAAATAAAGAATTAAAAGAAATACCTCCCTGCCCTCTTATTCACATTATGTTTGTGTGTACTGAATAGTCCGCTGCTCTGTTTGTGTGTATTGGTAGTCTACTGTCTTGGAAGAGGTTAGACGTCTGTCTTGGACATATATATCTTTTATTTTAGAATTCAGCCAATCTATGTCCGTATAAAGTCAAAGGCAAGGATTTGAAGATTCTCTTTTTAGATCTAGTATTTTGAAATTATTATTAATTATACTTATCGATCTTGGATAACTGTGAACATGAAAAATTAAATTTTTCCTTTTCTTTTCATTTAATTTTACGATTTCAGCAAATTCAACAATTATTTTTTCTGTTTTCAGAAAATTTCCCCTTTTTAAAAATTTAATTTTACAATTTCATCAAATTCATTTTTTTCCCCCTCTCTTTTCAGATTATTCCGATCATCACCCTACATGTGTGTAGATGTTTTTCACCATCAATAGGTTCCATTCCTCTTGCACACTGCATTCTGAGTCTGCAGAAATGAAAGAAGTCATTGCTTGTATATGTGGCAAGTATTGTGAGGAACGTGTACGACAATTCCTTACATTGCAACATAGTCCGGCTTTTTCTCAGATCTTGGTGTCAAAGTGCTACATTGATAGTAAGCAGTTATCATTCTCAGGAACCCCTTCAGTTGCTTGCGCTTCACAGAAACTTGGACACCTTAGCCATATTTCTAACGCGGTGCCAGACCCTCCTGCAAACATTCTCGTTCCAGGAGAACATGATTTCATGGCTCGAAACAACGGCCAGGGCAACAGAGTAGGTCACCGCGTGGAGGTGGCTTACGACTCGGGCTTTAGCTCCGGCGGATTTTCATCTCACATTGACTCGGAAGATGACTTTGATACGCTAAGGAGAAATCATGAAGAATTGGTTGCGGGTGGTTTTTATTTTCCATCCATTGACCAACCAGCGGCGATGAAACTGTTAAAAAGAGCGAAAGCCGGATCATTTTTGATTAGAGACAGTGCTCACCCTGGATATATTTATTCTGTGAGTGTTCGGAGTGAACAAGGAGCCACAAGTGTTCGTATTTCATATACAGATGGCTTGTTTGGGTTTGATGGGGATGAAGAACAGCCCAAGGTTAAGCCCCGCTTTGACAGCCTAGTTGCTCTTTTGGACTACTATGCACTGAACCAGCTAAAGCATGGAAAATGTCTGACAATGAGAGGAAAGACGGATCGAAAATCTGTGGAAATACCCTTTGCGAAGCCTCTCAGAAAGACGGCGCCTTCTCTTGCTCATCTGGCTCGGGTAAAAATTAATGCATCTATAGATAGGGAGGAATTGTATGAACTGTCCATAGCATCGTTGCCGCTGCCTGACAAACTTAAACAGTTTATAAGAGACTACCCTTACAGGTTATGACATTGACAAGACTAAATTAAAATATATCAAAATTGTTGTCTTTTGAAAGGAGTGCATTGTATTTATTCTCCAGAAACGTTGTGTTCAAACTTGATCTTTACTTGAGGTCTTAGTTTTCAGACTACTCAGGGAAGATAATTTATTTTATATCACTCTGGGAATATTTATGAGGTGATTTTACAGAAGGAATGTTTTATTACTATATCAATGATTATCAACCTGGTTTATGATGATTGTTTTAGTGGTAGACAAAGTTGATGTGAACATATTAAAACCTCTTCTATCCCATTTCTTTTGTGACTGGGTATGTAAAGTTGATTGTAAAAGGTGTGTCTGAGTAGGAGTGACTTTGTTCCAATGTGTGAAGTGAAATACCGGTAACTAGAACTAGATCTTTATTTGTATCAATACAATGCCCATCTTCATTCCAATGAATGATGTAGACATTCACATTCATTATATTCGTGGGCATGGATTTTAAGGGAAGCAAACTACTACATAACATGATGATGATATAGCCATTACGGTAGCCTAATATATAAAGAGTCTAGAGAAAAAGAGGGTTAATGTGAAACATAGAAGAAAACATCAGGGGTGTCTGAAGTCAATGAAACATCATCATTATTATTGTTTTAAAGTTTTGGTTGATGCTCTGATTTTAAGCCAAACCTTTGAGCATGGCTTACAGTTACAGCGATAGCATCCTTTCTAGAATTTTATAATTTATTTTAAAGTTAAAGGCTGTCTAGCTGATTTTGGGTGGACTGATGACTAGAGTGCACCACTGGTTGACCCTACTTTCTTCTGTCCTCCTGTCTTTTTCTGTTTGTCTCACACACACATATAATATATATA